AGAGAAGTTAAATTTAGAAGAAAGGAAGCATGGAGTTAGTTTAAACCATCAATGATGTATAAAACAAAAAGAAAAGAGAGTATACATGAAATGGTCATAATAGAAATATCTAAAACATGCAAAGTGTTTACTTGTATCTTCCCATTGTTGTTTAGAGTTACAGTTGATCAGTCTTTTATTGGTATATGTGCTTCCTGTGTGGATTGCCTCGACATTGTTTGTGATCTATAGCAGTCCTAAATAACAATGAAAAGATACAAGTGAAACAACATCAAATGTATTTAAGACTTTACTATATTGCATAAACAAGTGGCTATCATGAATCAGTAACTAAGTAGATAACATGATGGCGTTTGAAACGAACTGTACTGCGTTCGAATCTTTTAGTGAACATCAACTCTTAGATGTAGGGACGTTCGGCTGACAAGTACCAAATAGGACGAAACGCGCATCAAACTGTATTCCATTGCTAGCCACTATTCATCTTTACTTATAATGCTTGTGAATTAAGACAATATCGAGGCAACACATACAAGATGTACATATCCCAATAAGAGACTAATCAATAGCGGTCCTAAAGATCAATGGGAAGATACAAGTAAAGAATATCTAGTGAATTTAAACTTCGCCCGATTGCACAAGCAAGTAGCTATCATGAATCAGTAACTAAGTGGATAACGTGATGACATTTGAAACGAACTGTGCTGCTTTCGAATTCTATAGTGAACATCAACTCTGAGATGTAGGTACGGTCGACTGACGAGTCTCGAATAAGATGAAACGTGCATCCTAGATTCCACTGCTAACTACTAACCATCAAGCAAGTATAATAGTTTGAATATGACTATGGTTCATTTTTTTAATGACTGACATCATCAAAAGAGTTATTCTAAACTAAATGATTTAAAGCTTTTGTTATTATAAAGAGGGGAAAAACAGAAAACAAACTATGGAATTTTGATAAGTATTATTTAGTAAGTAGTATATTCATCTCATGAGTAAATTATTAAATAATTTATATACAATGTTTCTATAGATTCCTATTATAACTCAGTAAATTGGTTGTTAGTTTGTTTGTTGAGGGGGGGGAAGCAGGGATTTGTATGAAACAAGAAAATAGACGGAAAACTGTTGACTAATAATAATAATAATAATAATAATAATAATAATAACAATAATAATAATAATAATAATAATAATGATTTGAATGACGATGATGTTGATGATGATGATGATGATGATGATGATGATAATGATGATGATGATGATGAGGATGATGATGATGATGATAATGATGATGATGACTCGGTTGATGATGATGATGCTTTGGATGATGATAATTGTGACGATTTTATTAACCACTCAGAAAAAAACAATAACCGATTAAAACCAAATAAACTTTACAGATATATTTTAATGATTAGTCAATATATGTTACCCAGATCGGAAACAGCAGATGTGGGATTGCGGATCAGTAAAACAAGAGTAGGATATCTACAACTGAAGAATATCTCGAACTCAGAACAATTGTCAACTAATACCAAAGTCAGAATTTTCAATACGAATATCAAAACAGTTCTACTATATGAGGCGGAAATTTGGAGAACTACGTAAGTTATCTCTCAGAAGATATAAGTCTTTATTATCAGTTATCTACACAAAATACTTTGGATCCATTAGCCGGACATTATCACGAACAACCTACTATGGGTGAGAACAAACCAGATTGAGGCGGAGTAAGAAGTGAGAAAGTTCTGGAAGTGGATAGAACACACATTGAGGAAAGTACCCAACTGCTTCACAAGGCCAGCTCTCTCTTGAAATCCTCACTGTCAAAGGGAGAGAAGAGGAAGACGAAAGAACAAATTACACCGATAAACGGAGACAGCTATGAGAAGAGTGAAGAAGAATTGGATAGAAATTAGGGAGGATGGTCCAGGTGAGGGTGTATTGTAGAATGCTGGTCGGCGACCTATGCTCGATTGTGGGTAAGAGGCGTAAGGAAATGAGTAAGATAACAGATAAAATACAAAAGTAGGTTTTATGCAAAGTTATTACAAAATGCAATACATTTATACAACAAGTATGATACTAAACCAATATCACATTGAAATGGTGGAGAAGATTTGTTGCTCAGGTGGTTAATTTTAATCTTATAATTCAACAAGAACCAATCAACATCGAGGTCTAAAGGACAAGCTGTGAGCCATATATGAAGAAATTCGAACATTTCTTTTCTATCTGAAGTTTATTCTGATGACGTCATTCAGAAGGACGATGAAAGCTTCAAGATCAAACGATCATCCAGTTCAAAAAACAAAACTCCATCAAAATAATATCATATTGAAATGAAAGATCTTTTGTTTCATCTCTTCCTAATAAGCCCTAACTATAAGGTAGTTTTTAACTCATTAATTGTTACTAATTTTTTTAGTCATTGAGAAAGTACAATTAACTTCTTATTCAATTGACTCATGATCTCAACCATTGAAATTACTATAATATCCACAAAAACCCTTCCGATATTAATCAACATATACTCACTAAAGACTGGCTTCAAGAGGTACATCCTGTAGTTCTAGTGAGAAGTAGTGACCAGTGGAGTTCAACCAGGTCTGTTGTGAGATAGTATCTCACTGAAGACAACGGTGGATGTGTCGCTCAATTTCATGGATTAGTTTAAGTTTGACATTAACACTAATAGATGCCGGTCAGTTCAGTAACCTAGAGCGAAATTATATATTTCCATATGAAAAATCGACATTGATCCGACATAATCCAACAACCGATCATTATCAATCTCATACATATATCACCCTCTAATACGTTTCATTGTCAGAGAAAGCATTTTAGTTATCTTACTTCGTTGACATTATCATTTAGTGTTAGTTTATTAGCTTTATACTCCTTCAATTAATCATATTCTGTTATCAATTAATATATATAACCTTATATTATAGCCTTCCTATTGATATTATCATATTTCAACTAGTGACCTGATTGAATATCTGGGCTATCTGTTCCTGTCATCTAATAATCTCATCAAGTTATGTATTTTCTTATTTGTTTTAACATATCATTATGTTTATGAATAAGGTACATTTATGAAATGTTTACGACGTTTCTCTGTACAAATTACAAAAGAGCTCATTCAGAAACATCGTGATGGCTTTCAATACATGAATGAATATTATTCAAATGTTGTTTCTTGAACTGTTAAAATCTAATTGACAAAGTGGACTATCTTCAATCCTTATCAAGTCTAAACATATTTTGTAATTTCACAAATTGAAATCATGAGTCAATTGAAGCTAGATCACCATGGAAAACCTGGAAGCACTAGACGGCCGTTTCGTTCTATTATGGGACTCCTCAGCAGTGCGCATCCACAATCCCGCACCCCGCGAGATTCGAACCCAGGACCTATTTTGTAATTGTGATATTATCATTATTCAACAATTTTGATTTGAGGATTTACAAAATCATTACTTAACATCATTACGGATACATTTGATTATCTTAATGAGAGCAAGAACAAAGACTGCTACTGTTAGGTCCTGTCCTAGCAGATATTTTCATGGCTAACCTCGAAAGTACCAAGCTCATCCTTAATCGCCCTCTTATGTATAAGTATGTCAATATCTGTAATAATGTTGAATTCTAAATAGTTTAGGTTGTAAGCAGCAGATGCAGAACCTAACGAAATAAAATGAATCCAATTATTATTCTGCACCAATCTTTGTTCTTGCTCTCTGTTAATGGTAACGAAGGGAACTATGTGTATGAAACATTCGATTATCCTGTACTTGTATTCACGTTCATACCATTACCATCTGATTTGTATATTCAACATAGTGATGTTATATTTTCCGGTAAAACTCTTGTATATAATAATCATTAAAAACAAACAAACAAGCAAGTAAGATAACAAACAGGAAATGTAAACAAATAAGCAAACAGACAAACATTTGTTTACCAGAGGGAAAATGATTGATTATTATCAATCAATTTTTTTGTATTTTGTAATTAAGTTGAATAGTTTGAATGATAATACATTCAACTGAATGATCAATGAAAGGAATTATTTCACAAGAATGATCTTTGTTCTTCAGAAAAATCTTTACTGATGATATATTATTACTACTACTACTACTGTGATGTGTGCTACTTATATTGACACAAGTATTATATGATGTTAGCCGTGGACAGAAAGTCTGATAGCAGAGAGATAAGAAGATTGAAACAGAATGCAATTTGTATGAAAATGAAAGAACAATGAAGTCTGAGTTATTTTCAGACGATTGATGGACATATCGCAAATGAAGCATTTACTGTATGATTGTTAGATTTTATAAACAAGTCCTGTGATTTTGTATTAAATAGATCTGATTGTTTCTACTGGTGTTCGTGTTCACTACACTACTACTGCTCCGACTATGACTACTACTACTGTGATGTGAGCTACTTATATCCACATCAGTAGTATATAACGCTAGTCAGGAATAGAATATGTTTTACTACGCAACCTGGACGTGGTTGTATAGACCAGATATTCACAGTACGTCAGGCTCTAGAACACAGAAACACATTCAGACGCCCCACAGTTGCATCATTTCTCGACCTTAAGGCAGCATTCGACTCTGTTGATCGGGAGGTTCTATGGCAGTGTTTGTCACTGAAAAGAGTACCAAAGAAGTACATTAACCTTATAAAGGCTCTCTACTCGAACACAACTGGTAGAGTGAGAGCTTATGGCGAACTGTCATCAGAATTGATTACCTCAAGTGCTCTTCGTCAGGGCTGTCCACTCTCCCCATTCTTGTTCAACTTTGTGGTCGACGTACTTTTAGAGATAACACTCTCCTCATCTAAATTTCCAGGGGTTGAACTTCTACCGGGAGGTTCACTTGTTGACTTAGAATATGCAGATGACATAGTTTTATTTGGTGAAGACGCTGACAAAATGCAGAGTCTTTTGACCACTATAAGCAACAATGCAAGCACGTTTGGCATGCGATTCTCTCCCTCGAAATGCAAAATGTTGCTTCAAAATTGGGTTGCATCGACACCCGAACTAGTGTTAGGGAGTGAAGTAGTTGAGTGTGTCGACCGCTTCACTTGTCTTGGAAGTCTCATCAGCCCTTGTGGTCTAGTGTGTGACGAAATCTCAGCAAAGGTACAGAAGGCTCGACTAGCTTTTACCAACTTGCATCATTTATGGCGTAGGCGAGATATCCGTCTATCAACCAAAGGACGTGTTTACTGCGCAGCAGTTCGTTTCGTCCTACTTTATGGCAGTGAAACATGGCCGGTAAGAGTAGAGGATATTCGTAGGTTACTAATATTCGATCATAGGTGTCCTCGAAAAATTGCTCGTATATCCTGGGACCATCGAGTGAGTAACACAGTTGTTAGGAAACGGGTACTACGTAAGGATGGCAAATCCATTGATGAAGTGATGAAACTTCATCAGTTGAGATGGCTGGGACACGTGTTACGTATGCCCAACGACCGACTGCCTCGACGAGCGATGTTCAATGGTATAGGAGTAGGTTGGAAGAAAGCTAGGGGCGGCCAGACCAAAACATGGCACAAGTCCATGAAATCACTGACAAGTGAACTGAGTGATGTTGGTATGTGTAGACTACCTGGTTGGGGACCACGAGATGATAGCAACCAATGGTTGGAGACCCTGAATAACATGGCTGGAAATCGTCTACAATGGCGCAGGTGCATCCACTCTTTGTGTTTCCCCAAATTCTAATCTCCTGAATCCCCCTTGTCTCTTTTTTCTCTTCCCATATTGATTTCACTGTATAATACTCTTTAAATAGCATCTTCAAATCTTAATCTCTCCGATTACTGCTTATACTCTTACCACCTCTACCACTACCGCATTTGAATCGATAACTGCATCTAGGTGCTAATGTGGTGTGGCAACTCGAACTGATGTACGTACGTACGAAGTTCTACGTTATTACTGACTGACTGACTATTACACAACAACAACTACTACTATTTCAAATATCACTTTATAATTTCAGATTTATCAAAATAGTTAAAGTTTCAGAATTATTAAATGTTTTTTGATCATGAAATACGAATTGAAAGATACGCATATTTACATACTGTCTTAAAAATCTTTTAATTCTACATATAGAACTATTAAATCACTGATCATGAATAACAAAAGCAATGTTCTCTGTGAAAAATTCTGTATCCCATATATTTTATACGTTGAATGTATGAGTTAATTGAAGCTAGACTATCAAGGAAAACCTAGAAACACTGGACGGCTATTTCATCCTAGTATTAAACGACTCAATAGTGAACATCCACAATCCTGCCTCGCGAGATTCGAATCCAGGACCTATTGGTCTTACGCGTAAACGCTTAACCTTTAGACCACTGAACCGGCCGGTATTCAACGATATTCTTCTCTAAATTCAACCGATCTA